AGGAGGGCTCACTCGAGGGCTGCTCCCAGGGCTATGCAGAAACTCCCTAGCAAAGCGACCCAGGAGGACGTTCGACGAGGTGTTAGGAAGATGCGCCAAATACATGAATGTTGAAGAAGCTGAAGCGGACTTTCTGCAAGCAGCTAAGTAAAAAACTGAGCCTCGGGACGAGAAGAAGGATAAAAAGCCGGTCGCGACGACTGAAAGAAAGGGATCCCCGAGGTCTGAAAGAGATGGACGATCAAGGGGATAGAGGACAGCCCAGTATACTCCCCTGTTAGCTTCGAATGCAAGGATACTGGAGGTTATGGAGAAAGAGATCCGTGACAATGTTGTCAGGTGGCCACGGACGAGAAAAGATGGGCCGACAAAGCCTAAAAGCGATCTGTATTGTCAATTTCACAAAGACTACGGCCATAATACCAATGAATGTCGGCACCTAAAAAATGAGATTGAGAGACTAATCAAAGCAGGCCATCTGAAGGAATTCATTTATAAGGATCGAGAGTGGACCAGTCGGCGCAGGGAGAGAAGCAAAAGCCCTCACAAGAGAGCAAGGACACCCGACAAGGAGGAGCTCCCTCAGAAAAGAGGAGTAACTCACATGATATTCGAAGGGCCGACTGATGGAGATTCAAATCGGGCCAGAAAAGCATATACTCGAGGACACCATGGAAAAATTGAAGTGCAACAGGTCGAGGAAAACGGTCCGGTGATGAATTTTGGACCAGCAGACATGGGAGAAGTCGAGAGACCTCACAACGATGCCCTAATGATCACAGCTCAGATATCGGGCTATGAAGTACAAAGAATCTTTGTCGACACGGAAAGCTCGGTGAACGTGATTTTTTACAATTGTCTTAAGCGGATGGAACTCGACATCGAGCTCTCACCCCTACACACCTCACTTTTTGGATTTAACGGCTCGGAAGTCGCACCCCTAGGAGAGACCACGCTCGCTGTCGTCCTAGGGGAAGACGACCTAAGGAAAGTGAAAATGGTACGATTTGTCGTAGTCGACGTCGAGTCAGCCTATAATGTGATTCTGGGAAGGCCAGCACTCAACACATTACAAGCAGTAGTGTCAACCTACCATATGAAACTAAAATTCCCCGTGGGAGATAAAGTCGGGGAGGCCAGAGGGGACCAGAGGCTGTCAAGAACCTGTTATCAGATTGCAGTAAGAACAAACCAACGGACGGAGGTAAAAGAAGGGAAAAAGCTGATGTCAAGCGAAAAAAGACAAAGCGAGAGTGACCTCGAGCCACATGGAGAATTAATGGAAATTCAAATCGGGGAAAAAGAGGAACAGACCACTAAAATTGGGCGAGAATTAGAAGATGAGTTGCGTCGACAGTTGGTGGGACTGCTGAAAGAATTCAGGGACATATTCGTTTTTTCCCCCGAAGAGTTAACGGGAATCAACCCCGATGTCATGGAGCATAAACTTAATGTCGACCCCCTCAAGAAACCTGTGAAGCAGCGTCTCAGGCGTCACGGGGCAGAGATCGATAAAGCAATCGAGGTCGAGGTGGACAAGTTGCTGAAGGCCAAACATATAAAAGAAATTCAATTCCCCGAATGGATATCGAATACAGTGATGGTGAGAAAAGCGCTAAATAAGTGGCGCATGTGCATCGATTTTCGTGACTTAAATTTAGCTTGCCCAAAGGACCACGACCCCCTGTCGAGAATCGACCAGCTGGTCGACTCCACAGCTGGCTGTCAATTGCTAAGTATGATGGACGCGTCCCAGGGATATCACCAAATTTCGTTGGCTCCTAAGGATCAAAGCAAAGTTAGTTTCGTAACGAGCAAGGGGACATATTGCTATGTCGTCATGCCTTTTGGGCTTAAAAATGCGGGGGT